GACCGACGAAAGTTCATCGACGAGCAGAAGTCTGGCGACGAGTAGAAGTCTGCTAACGAGCAGAAGTCCGACGACAAGTAGAAGTCCGACGTCGGGTAGAAGCAAGGTTTAAAATTGCATAAATAAGCCTCAAGGCATTTTTCGTCCGTGAGGCGAGGCGTAAGCCTCGAGGCGGTGTGAGGCGTAAGCCTCACCGACGAAGAACATAAGCCTCACGGATGAAGAATTGCTTAAATGAGAATTTAAGTATTTTAGCAGGTAAATAACAGTAAGAGTTTAACATACAATAAAAACATATAAATGAGAAGTGAAATTAGTGTAAAATAATAAAATAGAAATAATATATGCATCTCATAGCATAATTCAAAGTACAAAATCATAAACATAAGTCTATCAAAACTCCCAAAGTACAAATAAGAAAGAACATCTAAAATCCAATCATGTCACATTACTAAATGGGTTTTTCAAGGGAATCTTTTTCTCCAATTGTATCTATGAAGGTCAAATCTTCATCATCTTCAATGTTACCCACTTTTCTCTTCCCTATTCAATAAGAATAATTAGTGTACCGTTAATTAAATATATTTAAAATGTAGCATCACATAAGAAATTATGAGATATCTTTATTTGCTTATTGTGCTGCAAAATTAGTGGATGTGTGTGGTGTGGTACTAGTGGATGTGACCACTTGATATGCTTCGCCCCTCAAGACATCCACACTTAGATCCTCTAGTTACATGTCTGATAATGACAAATCTGTCGTATCATCTATGAACCACTCATTATCATGTGCCATATCATCACACACCAAAGGGTCCTTATCATCCTTCAACCCCTTATTCCTCAACCTCCTATTTCTCAACCTCTTATTATGCATAATATATATAAGGGAGTTCATTCTGAGTATTGAAGTTGATTTCTTCTCTTTATCTGCACTTGACTATATGTGCTCCAATTTTGATCACACCTAGAGGAAGAACAAGTGAGGCCCAAAACTCTAACTATAAAAATATATAACTAAGGGGTGGAATCACCAAATTGGATCCATTATTCAATTATTTTCAAGAAGAAAAATGATAATCATAACATATTAAAGTGTTATGCATGTACGAATACTTTACAAAAATAAATTTACCTAGAGAGTGTTTGGCAATAGTAGATTTTGTTGCTTGCAGACCAAAAAATTTCTCCCTGTTCTAAAATAGAACAACTTCTAAATTTACAAGCTCCTTAACAGTCTAGTTCAATATTAGCCGCTTCATGCAATGATACAAGCCCAGCTTCACCTCTGGATTTGAGGATTTTCCCTCTAAATATTAAAATCATGGATTGAAATAATAATAAGTCAAATTCTCGTTTAAATCTAATAAGGAAAGGTCATTCCTAATATTTTCTAACCAAGTCTTTTTAGGTCTGCCTCTACCTTTTTAACATAAGTCAAATCTAATACCACTACTCTCCTAACCGGGTCATCGGAAGACCGCGTTTTTATGTGGACCAAACCATCTAAGGCGACTCTCTCTAATCTTATCTTCTACTGGAGCTACTCCAACCTTTTCACATATATGCTCATTTCGTATCTTTATCTCTAAGGGTAAAGCCACTCATCCACCTGAGCATCCTCATCTCTGCCACACTTAACTTAGTATTATGCTTCTCTTTTAATGGCCAACATTCGGCACCATAAAGCATTGCAGGCCTCACTACCATCTTATAGAATTTTCCCTTAAGTTTGAGGGGTACATTTCTATCACATAACAAGCCCGATGCATTCCTCCACTCAACCATCCAACTTGAATTCTGCTGATAATATCTCCCATCTATTTCATCATCACTCTGAACAATAGATCCAAGATATCTAAAAACATGTACTCTTATTAATGACTTGATGCCCAAAGTCACAATCCCCTCACTAGGTCTATTTACTACTAAAATTACACTCCATATATTCCGTTTTAGATCTACTCAAGCCGAAAACCTTTAGACTCTAAGGTTGACCTCCATAATTCAAGTTTACCTTCAACTCCCTCTCTAGTCTTATCAACAAGAAGAATATCATCAGCAAAAAGCATACACCAAGGTACAATCCTCTTGCAAATGTCTAGTGAGAACATCCATGACTAAAGCAAAAAGATATGGCTTAAGGCTGATCCTTGATGTAACCCAACGGAAATAGGGGAAATACTTGGGCAATCCACCTTGTGTTTGAACACAAGTAATAACTCCTGCATACATAATCTTTAATGATTTGAATATAAGCATTATTGACTCCTTTCTTTTCAAGAACTCTCCATAACACTTCTCTTTTGAACTTTATCATATGCTTTTTCTAAATCAATAAATATCATATGTAGATCCTCCTTATTTTCTCTATATTTCTCCATCAAACCTCTTAATAAATGTATGGCTTCCATAGGCGACCTACCCAGCATGAATCCAAATTGATTTTGAGAAACATTAGTAACACGCCGCAACCTATGCTCCATAACTCGCTCCCATAGTTTTAAAGTATGACACATTAACTTAATACCTCTATAATTCGCACAATCTTGTGCATCACCTTTATTCTTAAAAATAGGAATTAACACACTCATTCTCCACTCATATGGCATCTTTTAGTCTTCAAAATAGTATTAAAAAGTTTAGTAAGTACCATGAAATTCTCTTCATCTCCTAAGCATTTCCACACCTCTTATTGGAATATCATCAGGTCAAACAGCTTTTCCACCCTTCATTTTCTTTAAAGCCTCTCTAACTTCAGTTTTACTAATACGCCGATAAAAACAGAATCTTTATTTTCATTTAGGGTGCTAAGGTCACTACAATTCAATCTTATTTTCACAATCTTCTATTAAAAAGTTTAGCAAAATATCTCATCCATCTTTGTTGAATATCATCTTCTAAGAAAAGTTTTTTTTTATCTTCATCCTTTTAATACACTTCACTTTAGAACTAAATCCTATACTACTCTTATCTCTTTGGTTGGCTAACTTATACCATATATCTTTCTCTCCCTCTTTAGTATCTAATCTATTATATAAATCACTAAAAGCTAATGTCTTGTACGCATATTGCTTTCTTAGCATCCTTACGAGCCACTTTATATATTTCCCAATTGTAAAAATTTTTAAATTAAACTAATTTTATAAACAAAGCTTCTTATTTTAATCTTTCTTTGCCACATTTGGATTCCACCACCAACTATTTTTACTATTAAGAGTTTTTTCCTTTGATACTCTAAGGACATCTTTTGCAATATTCTTAATATCACTAGCCACTTTTCCCACATAACATTAGCATCCTCATGCACAAACAAAATATTAAGATCAAAATTCTTTATTCCCAAAAATATTTTGTTTAATATTCTTTAAATGCCCCCATCTAATCCTAAAAAATCGTTTTACTTTATTTTTTATTTTTATGCCCTTTATCTTAAAGTCCAAAACTAAATAATCGATGTTGGGTACATAAATTTTCACTCATAATAAACTTTGCAATCTTTGCAATACTAAACGATTTAATTTCTAATAAGAAAATAGTCAATCTGGTTGTTTACTATATCCATTTTTATAAGTGATGAGATGCTCATTCTTTTCTTACAATTAAGGTATTAGCAATTTGAAAAATCATAAGCTAACAAAAAAACCAATATGGTCCTTGCCACCTTCATTCGTCGTTCTAAATCCAATTGGCCACCATGAATGCTTTTAAAATTCATCTACCTCCTTCTACCAACATGACCATTTAAATCTCCTCCAATAAAAACACTTTCTTTAAGAGGTATATTTTGATATTAATTTTCTAAGTCATTCCAAAAATTAATTTAGAACTCATATCTAAACCTACTTGAGGAGCATTAAAACACTTATAATATTACAATCTTTTATCATCAACAACAATCTTGAAAGCTATAATTCTATCTCCTCTTATTAATTTTTATATAACATTATCCTTTAAACTCTTATCTATTAAAACACCTACACCATTTCTAATACGACTCCTACCCGAATACCAAAGTTTAAATCCTAAACTATCAATTTCCTTAGCTTCTCTCCAACCCATTTAGTTCCTGAATGCCAAAAATATTTAACTTCCTATGTAATTATAATATCTAATTAATTCACATTATTTTTTGTAAAGGGAATCATATTAATTCCAATGTCCTATCCTTAATTTTAGTTTCATGGACTAGCTTCTTTGCCCACTAATCCGTCTTGATGTGGGTAACCCTTGCCTATTTACATTGCACCCACA